TTCTTACCTTTCTTCTTAATTTTCAAGTAGTGCATAATCTCATGACCAATAAGAACATTATCGACAATTTGCCGTTCCCGGATGAAAGCATTCTGACCAGGTGAAACAATATCTGGTAAAAAGCTCGCCATCCTTTCCGCCATAATTTTCGATATGATCTTATAGACCACTTGACAAAGACTAATTGGTCGCAGCTGGCGCATATTTTCCACCGTATCCACTTTGGGGATCAATGTTAGCCACGTGTGATTGAAACTTCGTAAGATACGCCCATTCACAAAGAATGATTGTACAGCTGCAATCACCGAGGGCCCAACAATGTCCCAGAAGCTCTTAAAAAATTTTCCAGTAAACCCATCCGATCCTGGAGCCTGCGTAGAGCCTATAGAAAAGACCGTACGCCGAATCTCCTCCGGAGTCACTTCTGCCGTGAGGCTAGTGTTCATCACATCTGTCACTTTCTGATCAATGGGCAAGGCATTTACCTTGTCCCAAATATCAGTCTCCTCAGCTCCCGTCGTGAACAGGTGAGAGTAAAATCCCACAGCTAAGTTAGCCTTGGCTTCCTCTTCCACCACCCAATCACCTTCCTCATTTTGTAATCTCTCGACGAAATTCCGGCGTCTCCGTGCTCTTGTGACAGTGTGAAAATAAGAGGAGTTTTGATCCCCCACCTTCAACCATCGAACCCTGGATTTTTGACACCAGTATTTCTCCTCCTCCGCCCATTTTATCGTGAGTTCCCTCTCCAGGCTATTGACCCGATCCCAATCGACAGGGAACTCCTCCTTTAACGCACCAATTTCGGTCTCCAAAGTCCGAATTTGCCTCGCAGAGTTCGAGGTACCCATTCTGCTCCAACTATGTAACCTATGTCGCAATCGCTTCAACCGGGTCCACAATTGGTACATCGGAGAGCCCTGCACCTGCTCTCCCCAAACCTCCTCCACCATAGGCTTCACTTCCGGATTTTCCGCCCACCGTGCGTCAAAGCGAAAGATAGACCTCGCCACCCTTGTATGGGCTTTGTCCGACACAATTAATCCCCTGTGATCCGACCCTAGATCCGTTCCATGATTCACCATCGTCTCCGGGAAGATCGTCGCCCATCGATCCGACGCAAACGCTCTATCCAACCGCTCCTGAATACACGCCGCCCCCATTCGCCTATTAGACCATGTGAAAGGGTTCCCGCGGAACCCCAAATCGTGTAGTCCTAACCCGTCCACAAACGAACGGAACTGCTGCGAATGAGCCGGGACCCAAGGGACTCCCCCCATTTTCTCATCCGACGCGAGAATGCCGTTAAAATCCCCTACCATCAAGTATGGTTCTTGTAATCCCGCACAATATCTGCGTAACTCATCAAACTGGAAACCCCGCTCGTTATCACGACAACTAATGTAAACAAACACAATCACCACTTTTATTCCATTAATTTCCAAACCGACCGAAATAAAGAACGACGAACTCGACAACATCCACACTATAATCTTATTTATTTACCCTTTATTTATTTATCAAACTCAGTACGAAGTCACGTGACCTTTTTAATTATGTTAACTGATTAATTTCTGCGGGGGAGAAAAAAAAAAAAAGAAAACGAAATGGAATTAGATTGCACGACAAAATCACGTGAGCTCATTAAAAAAGAGCCCGTTTAAAATTCAACGCATGGCATGGTGGCAGTGGTTCCTGCCATGATTAATAGAAAACAAAAAGAAAAAAAGAAAAACATGGGATGTTATGGTATGATATTGGCGTATATAACGTTAGTAAATATTCCGTTTAATATACGTATATGTACTCGTATGTATTTTATCAGTTTAAATTTTTTGTATTAGTATTATTGTTAAGCCGTTTTTTCTGTTCATTTAATTATTCTCGTACTAAACACATATAATACCCGTATAACACGTTTAATATTCGTATATTTAATGAATTACATGATTAATTTTACTATTATTTATATATTTATTTATATTTAAAAATAATTACTTTTATATTTATGACTATTAACATACTATTAAATATAATATTAACTTATAGATAAAGTAAAATACTCATATATATTTTATACGTAACTTTCTCGAAGCGTATGGTTACTATGGTATCATCATGTATGTGTATATTATGCGATGGTGGCAGGGGAAGCGGGAAAAGAAGGCAAGTGGGTTACGGGAAATGGAGATTAGTGGAGCGAGAAAAGATAGTCGCTTCCGTTTCCCGCCAACGACGCCTACGTGGATGCCTGGTCCCACTGCTTTTTTTCCCGCCAAGTCGCCCCCTATTTTCTAGGTCTTCAGCCACGCCACGGGCTGCCACGTGTCCGGCATCCTAGGAAAAGTGGTGGACAGTTGTTGTTTCTCCCTTGACGGCTCATGGAGCCATGATTGATTGATGGCCATGGCCCTGCCCCTTTCTTGCTTGGAAACACAACTCCCTAATCCTGCTCCCCTTGGGATCTGTACGGAGGCAGGCAAATGTGTATAAACTATATTACACATGTGTGTAAAACAAGATGTAAATGTAGATAACTAGTTATTAGATGTTGAATGGCGAATTTATCGAAATAATCGTCTTAAAATATATAATTTCAATTTCTAATCAGTGGACGAAAGTATTGCCAAATCTCGATCGGATGATGGAAATTTTTAGTGATGCCATGTCGCCCTTTCTCTCGCGTCGGCGCTGGACATTTAGTGTCATCACATTTCATTTTGCGTAGTATGCCATCTATGACGTATGGTTACTTGTTGGTTGATCGAACCAAGATGGTCGACCGATTTTTTTTTCCATGGCCGGTGTCGCTGGTTTTCAGGCACAAGTTGACATGCAACCTTTAATGCTCTAGACAATAACACTATGTTCATGAAGGAAGGGAGGAAAAGGAGGGGAGGTGAAGGAAAATTAAAAGGGGAGGGGAGATTTGGAGGTGAAGGAAATTGGAAGGAAAATGTTGTTTTATGGAGGAAAGTGGGAAGGAAAGTGTGTATTGGGAAGTGTGATAAATATGTTATTTTATTGGTTATGTAATAGTAAATAGATATTTTATTTATTTAAAAACCGTGATTTAACCACAATTAATTAAAAATAGAGACTTTATAATAATTGATCAAGCATTCTAAATACCCTACTTTCTCGGCATAGCCTCTGACACAGTTTCGTAATCCTTGATATTACACTCAAATCTATCAACACCCAATTAATAAAGAAACCTACTTAAGTATTAATTTAATTAATTTGAACAATGGAGACCATAAAAAAGCCTACTTAATCTAAACTTAGGTAGCGAAGCGAGAGCGTCTAGCGTTTATTTTTCAAAAACTCAATATTAAGAGCGTGAACAGAGCGTTAATATTATATTATTTTAATATATAAATAATAAATATATTATTTTTATTATAAATAATATTAATACCAAACGCTTCTACGTAGAATCGTGCTTTTGACCGCATTAAATTGTCATTATCTTAGTTATGAGGATTAATACCGATCATTAGAAAAAATAGATAACAAATTTTACTTATTCTTATCCTTATCTATAACCCACGACCATCTCCTTCTCATTTTTTATTATGCTTCATTTTCTCATTTTAACTAAACACAATAAATATGATGTCGTGAGCCCAAAAATCTTGTTACGAATCAATTCGGTGGGTGTGTGGCGCCCGTTTTCCTCATCGTATCTCAGTTAATTTGGAGCGACTCACGAGTTGACCTTCATTACAACTCATAATAATATTTGTCTTCATCCATAATTAAACCCTCAATTTTTTCCCTACCTCTCTTAAAAATATATTCTTAGTTAATTAATAACTAAGAGGACGTAAACCATTACTCTTCCATTTTGTAATTATGTTAACAAATAATAATAGTTTATTAGTTAATCATCTATAATAGGTGATCATAAAATAAAACTTAATTAATTCCTTTATAGCAAGTGGTAGTGGAGAACTTTCTCTCCAAATTGGAGGGGTAGGTTCTACAGCAAATTTTCTCTCTTGTTTTCCCTTCCTTTGCACTTTTCCTTCCTTAAAAAACAGAGGAAAGTTTATGGAAAACTGTGCTTTCCATCCCACTTTTCCCTCCCCTCCCCTTTCCTCCCTTTTCTCTTCTTCTTGAACACAGTGTAAACGACCGCCCCTCTCCATTTTCCCCCTTTTATGTTTCCATAGACCTAACTTCCTTTCCTTTTTTTATTCGAAACCGGAAGCGAAAACCATCCCCCCTACCTCAACTTCCCATCAACAAAACAAGTAATATTTTGCTAATTGCATATATCTCGTAGAGCGATAGAAGTGGTTCACGAAGGATAGTGAGGTTATAATTTATATATCTCGTAGTTCAGCAGCTCATATTATTCCTTCTAAAGTTTCCATTTCATATGACGCCAATGACTTGATGACCCTCCAGATTCTGTGGTGTAGACTTGCTAAATGCTAAAATGCCGATTTTGATTTTGGATTAAGGAGTTGGACTAAACTAACGGTCAAACAAACAAACAAAGACCCCTTTCTAATTTCTTTATCATTTTACAATTTATACTCGTCAGTAGTGGTACGTGGCTCTAGGCGCCGGTCATGGTACGGAAACAGCTCTGAACCGCCGGTCCGGGCTGGTTAACCGCAGCCGTACCTTCCGCCTCGGTCCTCCATGCAAATTTCCCCATTGCTTGCAGATGCAGCTCCGGCAGCCGATGCTACCATCAGTCTGCAGCGTTATTATTAAACGTATGGAAAACAACAGATTTTCGAGATATGGGAGCTGGGTCGAGCTCATCAGCAGATTTCCACTGACAGTCCAGAGATGGGATGCATCATCCATCCAAGTACACGACGTCATTTACTTGTGGCTCACGCAGGATGTTCCCCCTTTCCTTTTCCCGTTAATAACCAAACAGTCAGTGGATGTGTTCCACGCCTTTTCAGTCTTCTTTTTCATCTGCTCGGTGTTTTGGACTACCGGGCTTATATTGGCAATGGGCCAGGCCCAGAAGAATGGATGTTTATCCGCGGGATCCGTTCAGCTTTATTTTGATTCGGCCCACTTTCAATCTCTTCTTCTACCCGTGGTTGCCTTCTTCTAATTTTAAACGTTGTAGTTTGTACCATTTCTCTTCTTCTACTCGACGGAGGGCGAACCCGAAAGAACAAAGCGAAGATTCCACCGGCGCGGCGGCAGGCGGCCATGTCTCTTTCTGCACTGCAGTTCGGTTTCTACTCCTCCATTTCTCCGGCCGCAGCGACTATGTCCTCCAGCTCGCGGAAACCCCATCTGGTAATCGCTTCTCATCTCCGATTTCCTACGGCGTATTTTGCAATCTGATTTCTTTAAGTGTTTCTTCGTTTTTTGCTCCCCAGGTCGCAGCGCAGTCGCGAAACCGCCGGCAAGTGTGGCGCCGGAGGAAATTGGTACACTATTATATAAACCTCTCTACCTTTTCCGAATTCCACTGCTGTTTATCGTTATCCATGGGTATGTATTTCGTTATTCGACGAGACTAGCTACAGCGGTTAGGAATAAGGAACTTAGGATAAGATCCAAGAGAGAACAGTTATGAGATTGGGTTGATAATTGTGCTCATGGCAAAACAATGGCACAATTGACCAACACGATCCGATATGGTTTTGCAGACGAAGGAGGACGATATGATGCGAGTGAAACTGGGGAGAGTTCCGTTCCTGGAGGAGCAAGTGAGGAAGATAAGAGAGAACGGGAAGATGCTGTCGTTCGACATAGAGTGGCTGATGAAGAACGAAGACAACAAGTACGAGTTCGTCAACGAGGTGGCGGCAGAGGCGACGGAGTACATCGAGCGGAACAGAGACGAGTATGGTGGGAACAAGAAGGCCATCCTTCATGTGCTCAGCAACAGGATGAACGATGCCGGGTTTTACCGACCGGAAGCTTACGAGGTTTCCGATCCGTTCAGGCCTGGACCTGATTACCTGAAGGAAGAGTTCACCTGATTACCTCATTGCTTCTTCCCCACTTATGTATGTTTGTTGTAGTAGCAGATGATCTACCCTAAACCAAGCAACATTCTTAGCAGCAGCTGCACTAATCCGTTGATTTCAAATGTTCTGTTGTCTGTACTTCCTCTTATTCATGCAAGATTGCGACTTGGAAAGGCAAAACCAAAAAGAAACTTAGTACAGCACAATGCCGTAACCAAAAAGGATTAAATCTAGCAACAGAAGCGAAAATTTGGATCTTGTAAAATCTTAAGGCACCAGGGAGTCTTACAAGTATTGTTCTAAACCTTTAACAACAGCCCACTGGCTACTACATTCATCTGTTCAAAAACCAATGATTTTGCCATCTGAAAATTGTTGTTCAATGAGTAGATAGATGCAGAAACCAAACCCGGAAAAATTACTCAGAAGTACACCAAATGCTGGCATGACTTCTCTTAAGGAAAGAGAACGTCAATTGCTGTGCAAACGGCAACCTCTTTTGTCATACCGAGATGGCTTTTGTGATGGCTAACTTGGCCCATTCGGCAGATTCCTTGATAGTTTCATCATCGGATGACAGACATTCATTCAAGAAGTCCCTGCTGAAAAGAGACTGCTGGATCAAAGAGCCAGCATTACTCCCCAGTGTATCTGCCAGATCCCCAAGCACACCGATTGCAGCTTTCATCACCAAGTCATCCCTGCAACAGAATAAATCAAGTGCCTCCAAATTAAATATAGTCCAGGGTATGTACATACAAGTAAATAACGAAGTGATCGGAGAAATTTGATGATAGCTGTTGTTGCTTACATGTCCTTTCCCTTGTATATGCTGTCCAAATACTGAAGCACATGTGGTGCATAAGGAATTAAGAGCTGTGTCTTGGTCGAGCTCTTAAAACCTTGAAGGATTCCAGAATACGCCTCCAAAATCCCACTCCTCAGTGCATTCGTGTACTCAATCATTTCATCATCAGCACCTTCGGTGTGTGAGGACAACTCCGCAGCACTTTGGAGCATTGGGGTGGCATACATTAGATACTTCTCAAAATCTGGACCTATGGCCAATGCAATATCACCAAGGCAAGAGAATATTGGAGGCTTCACGGATCGATGCAGCTGATTGCTCGATAGATCTTTGAGGAGTTGAGTCATGATCCCATCACAGTAAGGCAAGATTTTAGCTTCCAAGGCCCTGCAGATGTCGCCCACAACACCGACCGTGACAGAGCAAACCTGATACTCCTCAAAATTTTGAAGCCCCATCTCCAAATACTTGAAAAGCTCCGGCATATATTTTTCAAAATCTGGACCTGTTGCATAGGCAAGTGATCCAATAGCTAGCATGGCCTCTTCACTAACGGTTGCACTTCTATAACCCAAAACACTGAGGAAGAGTCTCATTATGTCATCAGCATGCTGCTGCATCAAAGCATTTTTGGTTTGTTCTGAAGCTCCCAGCTTTTGAATGATCACCTGTAAACATCCACAAAGAAGACCCTGCAGTTCACCCTGTTTCTCTCTCTCAGACACAATTCCCTGTCCTTCGAGGCTTTTCAAAAGCTCATCCTTGATGACATGAACTAACTGCAAAACCAGATGTGCTGTTTGATCGGTCGAGCACCTCACAACTTCATTCAGGGCTTCATATGCAGCAGTCCTTAACCTCGACTCTGCAGCATCTTCTCTATGAGAAGCAGCGAGAAGGGACTGCACAATTTCCTGGAAACAGGGAGTAAGAGGACAGGACGCCCCTGCATCTTCATAGCCCTGGGCAAGGAAATAAAGGGCACCACATGCCTTTTCAGCTACATTTGGTGCATCCTTCATACTGTGAAGCAGAACCATGATGATCTGCTGGCAATTCTCTTGCGTAATTATAGGGGTGTCAATTTCCGACCCGTGGAGAAACTCAAAAATACGACCAAGAGTCCAAGCAGTGGTATCTTTCACATGGTTATTTGGATCCTTCATTAGGGCAGTCAGCATGAAATTCAAAGCCACAGTAATGATGGGCGTTAATTTCTCGATGGATGGCCCCTCCAAGATTGATCCAAAAGCATAAGTTGCAGCCTCCCTTTGTCTCCAATCTTCCTTTGTGATATTTTGTTCAATGAATGGCATTACAAGAGGAACAACATCGTCACCTACAGTGCGTGCAACCAGATAAAGACAGGTGCCTCCAGCCATTGCAATGTTCCATGCACCTTCATCTTGATCTTGATCTTCCTCTTGTTTCAGGATCGCCTCCAATAAGAGAGGAATGAGAGCAGGAAGAGCCTGCTTGATGAAGTAAAAGCAAGGTATGTTAGAGCCTGCTTCACTGAAGTCACCTCCATATTCTTCCAGGATATCAATTTCCTCATCACATATTGAGCTCCAAAACTCAACTGCCTGAAGAGCCACCGACTCCTCATCTTCCTTCATTGCCTTTGATGTGATCTTAAATATTTCCTCAATGTAAGGGGCCAGCTTCTCATAATACATTGTTGAAATGGAGACCAAACACTCGAAAGCAGCCTGCCGGATCTTAACATCTGTGGACTGAGTCGTCTCGCATACAACTCTCATGATATAATCACGCTCTACGTCGTTGCTAAAATTAGCTTGAGCAAAGGCAAGTGCATTGTGAAGGGCACGAATAGCAGCAAGCCTGACATCATTATTTACTTCAGAACCACTCATCCCCTGCACCACAGCAGTGAGAATCTTGTTCACATCCTCCTGGTCCACGACATCAGGAGATACTTCCTCACCAAAATAACCAAGAGTCTCCAAAGTAGCTTGCTTAGCATGAGCTGGCAACTGATGTATAGTTGACAAAAGTGTGCCAATCAACTCAGGCCACTGTTTCTGGGGATGCTCAATACCTGCAATCTTGGCAATCACTTGTGATGCAGTAGATCGAGCATCGACTTCCATAGCAGAAAGTGTCTTCAATAGGCAAGACTTAATCTGAGCCTTCACTGTAGCATCCAACATTAGCCATCTCTGGACAAGCTCAGCCTTCCTATGTTGTTCTTTGGCATCCAATGCATTCTTTAGAATAAGCCCTGCTAACTTACGGCTGTCAGCAGGTTTACCATCATTGGCTAGCTCCCCAGAGAGTGATAGCAGGAAAATAGGAAGGTTTTGCTCTTGAAACTGTTTCAAACTATCTTCTGCTTGCTTCCTTACATTTCCATCTATAGATTGCGCGCTCAAAAGAACATGAGTGACTTCCATTGCCATGACTTATAGGTAGATCTACAAAACAAGAGACATGTTATTAGGAGCTTGCTCAACATATATCTGAACTCGCGGATTTATGTAAGTTCATCAAATATGCAGGCAGTTAAACCATCAGAAGAACTAAAACCCCACTACAAAAAACCCACCAAAAAGGGGATGATATCACTCAACTGAGATAATGAAAATCCATCAAGGAAGAGCGTGTAAGTTCGCAATAACACACACTTCAAATCGCCCCAGAAACCAATAATCAACAACCGAAGTCATCAACATTGTTCTACAGGAAGCAAAGCAGATCCAGTTCGCCCAAATACAGAGAGAAACGGTCAACAGCAGCACAATTCAAAACTTATCCAAGCAGACAAATGAAACAGTCAAGAAATCGGCTTAAGCCTGTTTTGAATTCAAGCAAAGGACTCCATAGGAGACTAACTTAATAGCAAAAGTTAGCAAATGTAAAAGCAAAAACCCTAAAAAAACGAACAGCCGCCAATCAGTTCCATATTTCGATGCAGAACACAGCACGGCGAGAGAAAGCAAAAAAGAGAAAGCAAAAACTAGCACGCAGGCACGGAGCTAGCTTCCAACTGGAGACGCAGCGCTCAGTGTATCTGTGCGGAATAAGATTGCAGTAATAGAATAGGGCGAGGTAAAGGTTCGGGGAAGTAATCTGAAGAGTTCGAGAGAGTGGAGAAGGGGAAGGAGGAGGAGAAATCACCTGTGAGGGGCGAGGGCGGCTGAGAGGGAGAAAGTGGTGGTGAACGGCGCTGTGTGAAACCCTGGGATGGAGTTGGAGACGAAGGAAGACGAGAGGGAGAGAGAGCACGGGGAGTTTGAATAACTACAACTACAGTATAATTAAAAAAAAAAAAAGAGAAAGAAAGAGACCGGTTCGGGTTGAAAGGGGAACCGACTCATCCGGTTGCTTTCAAACACAGCGGATGTGGGCGGGAATTATCCCGCCGGCTTATTATGTTCCCATTTCTTTTCATTTTTTGGAACTTTTTTTCGTGCTATGCCGGGTTGTTCCAAAATATTGTTTTGGGTTAATATATTTCTATTGTCCGAACTTTTCACAAATTTAATATTCTGGTCAATGCTTTAGGTAATTAACATTGCGGCTTGAACTTATCATATATTTTACTAATTTGGCCAACCCCGACTATTGATATTAGTTCTGACGGTGAAGCCCGTTGACTAATGGTCAACCTGCCACATCATCGCCAACTAAGCATCTTTTAACCTAAAATAATTTGATTTTCCACATAATCTCTTTTAACTTTTCATTTTAACCGAAATTAAGATACAAAAATAAAAAAACCTCTCTCTTAAATCGTAGAACAATTGCCCCACCACCAAATTCGAATACCCTAATTCCCTCTACTCTCCAGTTCGTCCCCTACATCTACTCTCCAGTTCGCCCCCGACATCTAGCATCGCCGTGGAAATTGCAACGACGAGCAGTTCCTTTGCGTCGTCGCCGGCCCGTCTCTTTCACCGTCGTGCCATCTCTGTCGCCGCCGTACCATCTCTGACTCCCAAGACGTTGAAGCAGGCATGTCGATGAAAAGCGGAAAAATCGCCGGCGAGGGTTCCACATCTTCCGGATCGACTAACACAACCACGATTCGTTGTAAAGTGCACAAAGCTCCGTGCGTGGTGAATATCTCTCGCACAAGCAAAAATCCGGGAAGAATGTTTTACTCTTGTCCATTTCGGAAGGTATGCACTCATTCCTCTTTGCTACCCGAGTGAGAAAGTGACGCGCCGGAAGAGATGATGAATTGCTGGGCATTTATCCTCTGCAGGATCATAGTAAGAACTGCCACTTCTTCCGATGGGTTGATCAGAAACCCAAAACTAAAAGTGACTCGGTTGTCGATGGATTAATGGAGGACAGGAGGAGAACTATGAGCTGAAGTTGAAGCTAGGTGATATGGAAGCGTTGGAGGGGCGTGTCCGTAGAGCAGAAGAGAAGGCCAGGAAAAGAAAACAAGAGAAGGTTACTATGTTAGAAGACTTGATCAAGGTTTCTTAATTGACCGCAGCAAGTTGCCTCGAATTGCGAAAGATGAGGCATACGATTTGTGCCCTTCAAAGGATGATGACACTCTGCTTCTTCTTCTTAGTCGTGATTGTGCTTGTCTTTTAGATGTTTATGATGTAATGGGTTATGGATCTCTTGCTGTTGTGTACCTTTGCAGGAGTTTTTGTGCTTGTAATTTCAACATTTCTATGTAATGGGCTATGGATGTTTGAACGATTTTAACAAAAGTTAGCAGTCAATGTCCTAACATTTTCATATATCACCATCCAATATAAAACACGTCCTAGCATGTATAAAAGAGGATCATTCCTGCTAAACAAGCAACCATAATGCCAAAATAGGACAACCTAATAGAAAAGGAATGTTCTAGCATGTACAACTCCTGTGATCATTCCTGCTAACAAGTTTCCAGAATTTGAGCAGCTAGCAAAATAGGTTCATTTCTACTACCTAACAAAAGATGGCCATTTCCAACTATACATGATTGGAAACTGTATCCTAACAAAAGATGACCAGTCCTACGAGCAAGCTGTATCCATCTTCAAGTTCCCTCTATGGCGACGGCTGAGTATTAGGCGGTTCTGTAGCATTGGCTGGAGGATTGTCCGGTATAGTGGCTTGTACACCACGAACAAGATCCCTTGCACTTAGCTGCCAAAGAAAACACTTCCAAATGATCAAGATGCAGAAATGGAGTATAACATGTAACGTTCGGGGGCGAATTTTTGAGAGCATCTTACCCTAGCATACATGTTGCCAGTGATAGGGTCAATATATGTTCCAAACCCTTGTTGAGCCTTCCTCATTTCCCTATTTGTTACCGTCCTATTGGATGAGCCAACATGTGGAGCCTACACATTGTAAAATGCCAAATTCAGTAAGGCAAACATTCACATCTAACAGTAGCTTTACCATTCAACACACATCTAACGTTCGCTAAACCAATTTACCTGGATGCCAACATTCATAGGGGAACCTCTACAATTGTGGTGCTCCGACCCACTACTAGAGCAGTGATGCTTTTTCTTTTGTTTTGGCTGAAATTGTAACAAAAAATAAATTCAACACACAGCAAGAAATTATAAATCATCAGCAAAATACTACCATCAATCAATTGATGACAATTCACCTCGTTTGGAGTAACATTTGGACGACTTGGCTAACCGATTTGTTGCTTCTTTGTCATTGGTTTCTTCGTTGGTGGTGCTGCTGCCCTAGCTTCATTCTTGCAAGTTCTGATGTTATGACCCTCCTGGCCACATTTCTTGCAGTGGATGATGAGGTTATGTTGAGAAGCAACTTCTCCGGTTCCATCTGTGGAAGGCCTCTTTTTTAGCTCCCACCCTCCCTCCTCCTTTTAATTCTAGGGCGGCCAGGCATTCGTCGTTGCATTGGTGGATACACCTTGTTGCCTTCTACTAGCAGCCATGCTTGGCGACCTTCTGACGGTGAAATAGGGTAATTGTATGCCTTTAGAACCCTATTAATCCTGAAGAAAACACTCACGTGCATCTCAGCCTTCTCCCTCAAATAAGTTATGGCCGCAAATGCATGGCAGCAAGGGATTCCATCAGTGACTAGAAGTCGCAAGAGCAGGTCGCCTTGTTCATGTCCACTACAAAGCCCTTACCACCTATAGACACCTCGTGCATTTGTTCTGAAGAAGGGCGGCTAGTGCAGAATCGTGCCAAGTCCTTCGACTTCTCAAGTTTAGCCCTCACTACTGGTGGGAACAAATCCTTCCAGCGCTGCATCATCCTTCGATTCTTTAAAAGTCTGGTCATCACAAACACTCTGATACCCTCCAACATTGCAATCACTCTCAAAGTCCTGAACCGCATGATCCAGTTGTTGAATGATTCACAAATGTTACTTTCTACTGAATCACTCTTTGAGAATGTCTTCATGAAGAACCTACAAAACCGTTCGGATTCCATCGACATGAAGTGTGTATACTCAGACCCTCCTAGAGCTTTCATTTTCTCAGTTTCACCCTAAAATCAACCTCATTCAGTGAGTATACTGCCTCCCAGTACAAGCCACTCGCAATAGTTGACTTGTGTTTCTCTCTGAAGTGTGCATGAACATGACGAGTACACTTCCTATGTTCAGCGTTTGGCATACGATTATTGAGTGCTTCAATGAGCCCCCGAAAATCGAAGGGGAAAAAGCCAACAGTCAACATAACACAATTAAAATGCCACTATACAGCCCAAGAAAAACTGGAATAAACAACATAAAATAAAGAAAAATGCATTCCTTCTGTTGGTCTGACACGATAGTCCATCCAGTGCCATCCTAGATCCCAAGTTGTTCTTCTAATGCTGTAATAAACAAGGTCCATGAACTTTTGTTCTCAGATTCCACGATTGTCCACGCAATAGGGAACATATGGTTGTTCCCATCCTTTCCCACTGCCAACAGCAACATTCCCTGGACCTCTCCTTTCAAGAAGCAGCCATCTAGGCAAAAGAATGGTTTGCACCCTTCCTTGAACCCCTGGAACAAGCTAGAGAAGCTGATGAATAGACGCTTGAAGAAAAACTTACTTGATGGTTGGGGTCTATATCAACTTCCAGCAAAAAAACTCTGTTATAAACGCGCTGCTTATGATCGGGAAATCGCCGGAATCGATAAAGCAAAAATACGAAAGCGAGAATCGAAAAACACAGACACACGATTTACGTGGTTCACTAACACGATGTGTGTTAGCTACGTCCACGGGCGAGAGAGAGCCAGTTTCACTATATCGAGGAGATTACAGATTACAGAGGAGTATGAGAAGTATTTATAGTACTTATCCATGTGGGTCTAAACCTAATCCAATATGACAAAGGAAACGGTTACAGACCAGGCCCAGAACCAGTCGTAGCGGCTGATAGTCCGATTCAAGTCACATCAACAAATCTCCATCTTGACTTGAATCCTCTTCCTCTGAAATCTCTGATGTACTCTGCTCCTTCTCTCTCTCTCTCTCTCCCTCCATCAATGCCCCGTAGGGAGGAATCACCCACTCAAGACATTCAGCAAGTCCAAGCAGTGTTGGAACTTGCCATGTGGAATTGGCTTCGTGAACATATCAGCAGGATTATCCGCGGTGCCAACCTTCTTCACCTTAATTCTCTTCTCTGTCCTCAAGAAATGATACCTCACGTCGATGTGCTTAGTCCTCTCATGGTGGACTTGATCCTTGGCCAAGCATATTGCACTCAAATTGTCGCAATACACCACTGCCTGATCATGATGTAGACCCAGATCACTGATGACTCGGTATTTGCACATGTTTTCCCCTTTGTTTCTTGATTGTTTGAGCTTGAATTATCATGTATTTGGCCTATTTTATGCTAGGTTGTGTTCCTTTGTCATATTTCAGGTCCTAGCACATAAATTGAAGCATAGGCGCAAGTTTCAAGTCAATCAGAGATCAATTGACGATTCGGGAGAAGAAACTCGGGCATGACCTGAAGAAGAACGGATTTCTACCTCAATTTATGGACAAATAATCATGAAATCTTGTCATGAAAAGAAAGAGGACGAGACTACGAGCGTCTGGGATCAAACGGCGACTGATTCGGAGTCCGGACGAGGGAGAAACAAAGCATTAAACAGAGGCTGAGCAAGCCACACGGGCATCCTGGAACTCCACACGGCCGTGTGGGTTGTGGCCGTGTGGAAATCACCGAGCCTTCACACGGGCATCTGGGAAAGCCACACGGCCGTGTGGCCTGGCCACGTGATCGGGAATTCCTGTTTAAAACCCAATTTTCAGCAAAAGGAAAGGAGAGAGCGGGG